TAGAGTATTGGCCTGGGTTCGATTCTGGTCAAGGGCACATGCCTGGGGTGCAAGCTCGATCCTCAGTGTGGGGCGTGCAGGAGGCAGCTGATCCATGATTTTCTCTCATCATTGATGTTTCCAGCTTTCTCTCCCTCTCTGAAATCAATAACGTATATATTTTTTTTTTTTTAAAAAGCAAAAAAAATAAATAAATAAATAACGAGAATCAAAGTTCAAGTTCACCTGGTATCCAAATGTTCTCAAGGGGAAAGCCAGCTTTGGTGTTCTGCTCTCCTATCTTTGTTCCTTAGTTTTGACTTGAGTGTTCTCACTTTCTAGCTGGTTTATCAAGCATTTTGAGTTGTTTCTTCAGCAGGAAGAACGTGGTCTATCATTCTGAAGAAAACCCAAATCTCCCCTTCCCATCACAGCCACGTTCTTTTAAAGAATAGATGACCTTCCGTCTTTTGAAGGCTTCACCTTCCATTCACGTGTAGCCCCTGAAGATAGGCCTCCACACAAATTTCCAGTGAACCTGCTCAGGTAAACATGACCAATGGGCTTCAAGTTATCAAATCCTAGACACGCTTTGTTCCTCATCTTACTTGAACCCTTCTCAACATTAGATACTGCTGATCTCTTGAAACCCTCTCCTGCCTTGGTTCCTATTCTTTTCAGGTTCTCTTCTATTTCTCTGGTGGTTCCTTCTCTGTCTACTTTCTTCCTGTAGTTTTGATGTACTTCTAGAATTCTCTCACTGCCTCCCTCCCCCCACCCCAAGTTGTTGAATAGGTGTTATATGCTACTGACTTCCAAATCCATATCTCCATGGCTCCAGGTACCTTCAGGAGGCCTCAATGCCCAGTGGGAGAGCTCAACATCTTCCCCCAACCTGCTCTTGCGAATCTGCTAAACGGAGCCACCAAGCAGCCGGGCAAATCAGGTTACCCTGGAGTCATTTGGGGCCACCCTCAGTTCCTCCTCACGTCTCATATCCAATCACTCTTGCAGTTCCTACCTCTTTAAAACCTCTTGAACCTATTTCTCTTTCCCATTTCAATTGCTGCGGCCTTGGGTCAGGCCCTCCTCCTATCTTGTCTGGGCTACTGGAATTGCCGCTGGTTTCCTTTCTCCAACCATCTGCACAAAGTTCAAGTTCATTTGGATCAGCAAAGTAGTCTTTCTAAAACACAGATACGGTCACTTTCCCTCCTTGCTTAGAACCCTTCTAGTGCTCTGGAGAATAGTGTACTTCCAAGTGTAAATCCATGTCTGTCTGTCTCTGCAACACTACCTTCAGCTCCCCCACCATCCTTCTTCACTCTGCACTCCCTGGGTGTGCTGCCATGCTGCTCACCGTTCCCTTAAATGCCAGGCAATTTCATTGCAGTGTCTTGCTCATTCTGCTCCCTGTGCCAGGAACCATCTCCTGCCTTCCCTTGCCCCATACAAGCCTGTCTATCTAGGAAACATTCTTTTATCTTCCAAGAGTCGGCTGTATCATGGCCTGTTCCTGAAACCCTTCCCGCCTCCTCAGCCTGTCCCTACAGAGTTTAATATCATCATGACCTCCTAACTGCCCTTGCTGACCCTTTACAGGTGTATGCTATAACACATTGTTCTTATTGGTTTTTAGAGAGAGGAAGGGAGAGAAGAGGGAGGAGGAGGAGGAAGGAGAAGGAGAAGGAGAAGGAGAAGGAGAAGGAGAAGGAGAAGGAGAAGGAGAAGGAGAAGGAGAAGGAGAAGGAGAAGGAGAAGGAGAAGGAGAAGGAGAAGGAGAAGGAGAAGGAGAAGGAGAAGGAGAAAGAAGGAGAAGGAGAAGGAGAAGGAGAAGAAGGAGAAGGAGAAACATCAAACATCGCTGTGGGAGAAAAACATCGATTGGTTACCTCTTGTACATGCCCCAACCGGGGACGAACCTGCAACCCAGGTATGTGCCCTGGCTGGGAATCGGACCCCAACCCTCCAGTGTATGGGACGATGGGACGACGACGACGTTCCAACCAACTGAGTCACAACAGCCAGGGCAACACTTTGTTGCTTTTTTTAAAATGCATATTTTACTAGATTGCAAGTTCCATGGGGGCAAGAACTTACCTATGTCTATATGTTGTGCCTTGGATACTATGTGTTTAATAAGTGTTTGTAGAATGGATGACTGAAGATCCCCCTTCCTGGGATTAATAACGCTGCTCATTTGCGCACCAAGGCAAACTGTGTTGAATTCCCCAAGAGGTGGGGTGTCTTGATTTGCTGTAAAGCAAGAAGGCAGCTGTAGCACCAGGTGGTCTCGTCAGAGGAGCCCAGGGAGGAGGACTTTTTCCTGGAAAGGGGAATCCTGGCAGCTCTGGGAATCTCTGCCAAAGGGACAGAGCAGGGCTGACGAGGAGTTCATAGCCTGTGATATGGGTCCCGCCCTAAAGTCAAAGAGGCTGACAGAAATGCACACTTTGCTGAGGCCTCAGGGGTGGTAAGAGAGCCAGGCTGCAGCAGGGAGCACAGTCTGTCCCCGTGCAGCTTGGGACCTAAAAGGCAGGGCAGATGCATCACCTAGGACATCTCTGGCTTGAGCAGATGCCTCAAACTCTCAGGAATAGGGTGTGAAGGATATTCCTAACCTCCCGCCCCCACCCCATCAAGTCGAATTCCCCACCTTCAGCTGGCTCTTGAAGATCAGTCCCTGAAAAAAAAAGCATGAGATGCTTCAGTGTTGTAGAAGGACAGGACCAGCAGGCTGTGGCTTCGACACTTAATTATAATGTGAGCCTGGGCAAGTCACTTACCTTGCTTAGGTCTCAGTTGCCTCGCCCATAAACTGAACACACCCTGACATGCCTCAACCACTTCACAGGATTATAGTAAAGGCCAAATCGTCACTGTAAGAATAGCCATTCCTTTTATATCCCTTCCCGTGCATCAGAGACTCTGCTGGGCGCTATGCAATGTCTTCAGCCATCCTCACCACTCCTCTATGAGGTAGAACTATTATCAGCTCCATTTTACAGACAAGTGAACCGAGGGTTAGGGAGGTGAAATGTCTTGCTAGCGAGTGGGCTGAGTGAGGTGGCATTCGATCTGGAGACCCCGTGGTCTGGTTGCCTGGGCTGTATATTCAGGTATGCGGCTGACCTTGCGGCTTAGGAGCAGAGCGACCGCAGGGCCCCCCTGGGACTCTTGGTCTTGTGGCCACAGTGGCAGCACTTACTGAGGTGTAGGAAGGAACAGTCCCTTCCCCTGGGCCTCAGAGACGTGTCCCTGAGGGCTCAGCATTCCCTTCCCAACCACAGAGGTTGGTCCACATACTGTATCGAATAGTGGCCCCTAAGATTCATGTCCACCCAGAACCTGTGAATATGAACTTACTGGGAAGTAGGATATTTGCATATGTAATCAAGTTAAAATTACTTCAACTCCTACTGGATTAGGGTGGACCCTAATTCAGTGACTGGTGTCTCTATAGGAAGAGAGAAATTTGGACAGAGATACACACACAGAGGGAAGACGGCCATAGGAAGACGAAGGCAGAGATTGAAGTTATGCTTCCACAGCCAAGGATTGGGGAAGAACACCAAGGATTGTGGGAACCACCAGCAACTAGAAGAGACCAGGCATGGTTCTCCCCTAGAGCCTTCCGGGAGAACATGGGCCTGCTGACACCCTGGTTTCAGATTTCTAGCCTCCAGAACTGGGAGAGAATACATTTCTGTTATTTTAAGCTCCCCAGTTTGTGGTGTTAGAGCAGCCCCAGGAAACTAACACAGTCCCCTAGTGCTGTGCCCACCACAGCTGGGAGCCCTAGGGTGTGGGTGGTGCAGTTTGGGAGACCAGTTTAATGGCCTAGAGAAGGGAGGTGCCTATTGGGGGGGTAGGGAGTAAGGGGGGGGGGTGAAGGAGAGCAGTATAAAAATAAGGTGTTTACTCATCTAGCTACACTGACCCATTTGTAGACAGTGCCTCTGCATGACTTTGCATGTGTGCGTGTGTGTGGGGGGTAGGGGGGTGGTGGGGGGGGATGTCTACAGTCTTGTTTTTTTCTGGTGAGGATGGGGCTTCTTCAGGTAGGTGACAACTTACAAAGCGAGGACTTCATTTGAGAAACTCCTCCTTTTACCCTTTGGTCACCGTTTCCAACCCTAGATCCTAGATGATAAAACTGGACTTAGAGAGGTAAAATACTTGCCCAAGTTGTCAATTGGTAAGAAAAGGAGAATTCAGATCCATAATTTTGGCTTTTTTTTTTTTTACAATCTCAAGCCAAAGAAAGTAAACTCTTTTCAGAAAGATATAGGCGATTTTATCTTTTATAAGCATTTTCCCTGAATTTGAAAGTAACACTTGTTTATTTGTAAAAGATTTAGAAAATACTGAAATGTTTAAAGAAAAAGTAAAAAATTATTCTGGCAATGACTACTGATAATATCCGTCTGGTCCTTTTCTATGCAGATATATATTATAATAAAATTAGAATAATACTGTAAACAGCTTTGTGTGTTTTTTTAATCTTCACCCCAGGATATATACCAGGTCACCAAAAATGTATACATACTTTTATAACTGATAACTCAATTTTGAAAGTGAACTGTATGTTAATAAACACTGACTTTATAATCAAAGCGTGTATCATTTTGGGGGACATCCTGTATTTCCATTGATTTGAGAGAAGGGGGAGAGAGGAATGGGTTGCCTTCTTAGGGGTCCTGACGCTGACCAGGGATGGAACCGGAAACCTAGGTATGTGCTCTGATTGGAATCGAACCCTCAATCCCCACCCCCAATCACCAAACAACTGAGCCACCCCACAGGGCAACATCTTTGTATTTTGCTTTTTAATTTAACATGATCTCATTTATCATCATTATCGTTCATTTAACATTTTCTCACTTCATGGCTTTTTATAACCATACTTTTTAATTACTAAATAATACTCCATCCTATGGATGGGCCATAATTTTTTTTGTCTTCTATAATTGCCTAGTTAAGTTACTAGCCTTTTACAGCGATAAACATGCAACGGTTAAAACTTTTCATAAGCATTTATTCTGTATTATTTCCTGAAGGCAGATAGGGGATATACCGGGCCAACAGGTATGAGTATTTTAAGGCATTATATACATAATGCCGAATTGTTTACCCAAAAGGCTCTACCGAGGAGCCGCCTGTGAGTGCCCCTCCAGCACCCGCACCGAGGTTGAGCACTAACTATCATTAAAAAGCCTTGGAATGTTCTGAAAAGGGGCTCCCATCATCGATCACACAGGTTGCTGGGCGCCCGGAGGATTGCAGGGCGGAGACCAGTGAGCAGACGGCGGCGACGATCCTGCTGGGACAGGAGGCCAGGCAGTGGGGTGAAGGCGACCAGAAAACGCAGGGGACTCGCCGGGCAGTGGACGCGGGGGAGGAGGCTGTGCCGATAAGATAACTGCGCTGGGTGGGGTGCAGGGGCGGGCGGAAGCTGCGGGTTCCCCCGGCTTCCTCCTCGCCGCACTCTTACCGGCTGGTGGGGGGACCGAGGGGCGCACCCCTCCCACCCCTTTAACAGGGACTCCCCTCTG